CTTCATATTCTTTGTTCTAAAACAAGATGCCCAGAATTTTGTGGTTGGTTAGATTTCCACCTTGCCTTTCCTCCAGGGCTCGCAGTGATGGACACACGGCACTCCCCCTATCAATTTTTCCCCACAACAACAATTCTGTGAAGTAGGTTGGACTGAGGGAGTGCCACTGGCCTCAAATCACCCAGAGGGCTTTCATGCCTGAAGTCAGCCTCAAACTGGGTTCAGCTCCATAACCACAAATCTAGGACGTCAACCACTATACCCACATGAATGTCTTCTCTGGACTGGAGCTTGAGGTTGTTTTTAAAACTGCATACATAGCCAGATAAATGTTCTTCCTCCTCTACATTTCATAAAGGAACTGAATCTTGCCACTTCATAATAAACCTTTCATCATGCTTTGCATGACACAAGTGTTATGAAGTAGCTTATTTTGCAGTTCTGATAAATTTTTTGAGTAATTTTATTTCCAAGGCTCTGCACATCAATGGGTAGGACCAAGCTGCCTCTATTAAAAAAAAATACAGAAGGGAACTGTACCAAATGGCAGTGCTCTACTTTGTGTTTCCTAAAGCTGAGGTGAGATTTTGAGAGTTCTGTCTTTTGTTTTTTTCCCCAAACTTTACATCATAGTTTGTGTATGTTTTCCGTAGCAGGAAATCATAACACTGGTTGTGATCAAAGGGGCTTCTAAGGTCATGAAAAAGAAGTGGTAATCATTTGCAGGCCTGGTTGCAAATTGTCTTCTCCTGTCTTGAAGATACAGGATGCACCTCAGAGTCCAAATATTCCCCTTTACAGGCATTATAGGATGTGCAGATGCAAAGAAAAGGGTTAGGTTGTGATTTTTATATATTGAATAACAAAAATGCTGGGGTTAAAAATAAAAAGTGGAGTGGCTAAAGCTCAGGAAACAAGAAATTTATAAAATTACAACGCAGAGAAATAAATTTTCTTCCTCTCTCATATCACCACAATTTTATAAATCTAATTTAGAACACAGAACAATAGAGCTGGAAGAGATGCTGGAAGTCTTCTACTCCAACTCCCTGCTCAAGTAGGAGATCCTATATTATTCTGGACAAATGGCTGTCCAGTCTGTTCTTGGAAACCTCCAGTGATGGAGCACCCACAACTTCCAGAGGTGAGCTATTCCACTGATTAATTGTTATCACTGCCAGAAGACTGGTCATTTATGTTGACCAATGTAAGTTTCACAATCAATAGCTTATAGTACGCCATTGTCAATTGTCAATGACTCAAAGGGGAGTTATGAGCACTCCTTTGAATAGAAGGGCAGCCGATAAATAAATCTTGTTCAAATCAAGATAAATCTGGATTCTAAATGGTGAGGCAAACAATAAGTGAGAAGTCCTCTTACAAATACTATAGCCAGAACATCAGCTTGCAGGTCTGTTCCAGAAAAGCGTTTTCAACCCACAAAGGCTATTTCCATTAACCTGTTACTCTCCCAATCAGGGTGACCACAGCTTCCATTATCCCACAGCCAATAAACTCAATGCTGTGGCTGGCTAGGAATAATGGGATATATTTTTTCTGAGCAGCCAGAGGTACTAGCTGGGGAAGTAATGTGAATTCCTCCAACGTGACATCTGCCAGTAATGCCCTCCTGGGTTCTTAAATAGGCCAAACAGGGTAAACTTTGCACAAAAGAATTAATGGACCACAAGTTTGACATCAGGACTCAAAACCAGAAAAGTGTTATCTCAGAGCATTTCGGCTTTCCAGGATCCTTGCTAGCAGATTTCATAGTGGCTGGTTTACAAAAGCGGGACTTTAACAGCACCACCACGTGAGAAATTGTTGAACTCACGTCAAAAAATTTCCAGGCAACCTCAGAAGGTCTCAACCAACACAATGAGTTTGTAACACATTAGACTTGTTCAACCTCTCTCGCATACATCCTGCACCTACATAACCACCTGTCTCTTCCCTCCCCCCCCCTCCAATTTAAATCCCACATCACCCTAGCACTCAATGCATCCGATGGAGTGAGCTGCAGTTCGCCAAAGCGGATGCTTTTAATATAGCGTGTCAGTTGTAAGAGGCGACCCCCGATTCTTCCTGATTTTTACCCTCACAGACTGACCCGGCTCTCCTTCCTTTAATAACTGGGGAAGGGGGTGCACGATGGCTTGAGACAGCGCCAGTCAGTGCCACTGCCGTATTTTGGTCATTCCTTTTTCAAACCCATGGAAAGGGGCAAAATGAAAAGGGGAAGCGTCTTTTTCTTTTCTCCCGAATAAGAGAAAACGTCTTCCCGCCTCACTTGTTGGAGATGAGCGGGAGAGAAGCGTTATGTATCTCACCTCGCAGCAATTCTCCAGGCGCAGAAGCAGGGACTCTTGAACTCCCGGCTCGCTCGCTCGCTCGCTCGCTCTCCAGAGAAACTGAAAACTTGCATGCTCGGGCAAGTCCTGAACAAGGACCTCCTGGCCAGTGGGAGGGGCGAAGGAGATGCGAAGGGCAGTCTTTTCCCAGAGTCTGATGGGAAATGTAGTCTTTTCTGCTCAGTAGTTAATGGAAGGTAGTTCTTACAATTCGGGCTCTCTTTGTCCGCCCAAAGTGTCTGGAGGGATGCGGCGTCTCCTTTCTCCTGGCGTCAAATAACAAGGGCCCATTGTGAGACTAGAATCGGCTCATGGAGGATGGAACTAATACTGTAGTGTCGAAGCTCCGCTCACAATATCTGGCTGAATTCATAGCCGGTGCCGGCAGAGGAAGGCCATGAGAGGAGAAACGTTTAGGGCTGCCTACTGTATCTGGTCCATAAAATTCAGGGACGATCACCAAATGATAGCAAGGAGCTAAAGGTTTCTTTGTGTCTTTGCTGCCACCGCGTGGCCGTACAGAGTGTTACGCTCAGGTTACTTAAAACTTCTGGATGACCTGATGCAGATTGATTGATTAATTAATTAATTAATTAACAACAACAACAACAACAACAACAATAATAATAATAATAATAATAATAACAACAATAACAATAATAACAATAATAAAAGTTGGAAGGGACCTTGGAGGTCATCTAGTCCAACCCCCTGCTCAGGCAGGAAACCCTATACCAGCAGTTCTCAACCTATGGGTCGCGACCCCATTTGGGGTCAATCGACTATTTCACGGGGGTCGCGAAGCAAGGCTGTCCGCCATTTTTTTTACCCTTTTCCGGCGGGTGCCTTACCTCCCTTGGGCTGGGCCAGCTGGTGGTCGGCCTGCTCTGTCTCTGCAAATTGCCAGCTACGCCTCAGCCGGCTCAGGGGGCGGAACCACGCATGCGTGGCGCTCCCGGGCAGGGAAAGTCCTCAATTTACGACCGGTTGGGTAGTCCTTGACTTACGACCGGTTTAGTCCTCAACTTATGACCGGTTTAGTCCTCGACTTATGACCGGTTTAGTCCTCGACTTACGACCGGTTGGGGGTCGCGGCATTAAAAAGGTTGAGAACCACTGCCCTATACCATTTCGGACAAATGGCTGTCCAGTCTTTTCTTAAAAACTTCCATTGTTGGAGCATTCACCACTTCTGGAGGCAGGTTGTTCCACTGGTTAATTGTTCTAACAGTCAGGAAGTTTCTCCTTAGTTCTAGGTTGCTTCTCTCCTTGATTAGTTTCCACCCATTGCTTCTTGTTCTGCCTTCAGGCGCTTTGGTAAATAGCTTGACTCCCTCTTCTTTGTGGCAGCCCCTGAGATATTGGAACACTGCTATCATGTCCCCCCTCGTCCTTCTCTTCATTAAATTAGACAAACCCAATTCCAGCAGCCGTTCCTTATATGTTTTAGCCTCCAGTCCCCTAGATTGATGGCCCTGAGCTGGGCAAAGAGGGTTTTCTTGTATTCCCAAGTCATCTTGTAACTCTATCAGTGTTTACTTTTCTTTAAAAAGTAATATAAACTTTCTCCATGTTGCCTGGACATTCTGGGAGATACCGTCCCAACATATTGAGTTGGGGAAGATTCATTGAACTGATTAGGTGTCATGTGTGATTAAATCAATGTTTGCTAGGCAAGTTGCTTATTACTAACCCAATGCAAGCAGAGAGCAGCTGAAATATTTCAGTCACACCCAAAACCAATGAGGAAAACCTCCCACTTATTTAATTATGCCATAAGCTTTATTTTAGCCCAATATTTTACATATTATACATTTAATTTGCTCTACCCCCACCCCCCCAAAAAAATTATCCTCTTCAAGCTTATCCCTTATAAGGCTTGAAAAAATGCATTATAAACTGGACAGGTCAAAACTAAAACAATCATGCAAATCTAAATACATTTATTAAGAAATTAACCTTGCTGAGGCCAATGAAGCTTATTCCAAAGTAGATTGCAACATTTGATCTTATTTCCTGGTAGACATGTAAAGGAACATGCTATCAAGTAGAGATGTAGCAATTCCAAACAGGTCCTTCAGAGTTTGACTGAGTATAATTATATGGGTGACAGATGTACTTACTGATGCACCCCAAAGGATTGCACAGCTCTCAGGATCTCCAGCGCTATTTGGCAATCTTGCATCAGTGGAGGCCAAATTCTTTTGAATCCCTCCTTAGTTCATGATTTCTCATCAAGTAATTAAGAATGTTATCAATCTAAGAAAAGCTTCCCCAAATGTTTGCATGTTATATTAAACTGGGGGGAACTGTAACGTTGAACACTCCCCAATTTGAGCAAGTAAGAGTGAAGACAATGCTTACTTTAACAGAATTAAACAAAATGTAAACTGAGATTCAAAAATTTTCTCAATATTTTTGTAAATACTCTAACCATTAGAGTGTTTAATTGAACCATTGTTGAACCATTGACTAGGTTGGCTCATTATATTAAAACAGAATCATTTTGGATGGTGAAATGGGTCACATATACATTTTAATAAATAAAAATAAATAAATCAACCTTCCTAAACCTTGCCCCTCTTCAATGATAGCAATGGCAAGCCACCATTTAGGATCAGAAGAGGAATGGGAATACTGTCCCCATTTCATCTTGCAGGAGAAAAGTGAGTAAAAGAAGTAACTAGGCCGAACCAGCAATCATTTAAATATTCAGAATCATTGCATTTAATCATCACACTCAAAGTATGGTATCCATCTTCATTGGGACACTGATGGGATTGTCAAATGGCTGAAAAATTGCAAACTTGGCAACGACTTAACTATTTTTCCCCAGCTGAAGTAAGAATGTTAAATATTAACAGAAAATTGCTAGACTATATCTGGAGATATTTTTTCTTGAACTGACATCAACCGCCCAATTAATGATTTCACAAATAATGTTCAAAGAAGAGGAAGAGGCCAAGAGATTAAAGACAAAAGCAAAAGGCAAACTGGGACAGAGGACGGTCTCAGAGCAAGTACCTAGTTCTGCTTGACATACCAATTCAGCACTTTTGGCAACATCAGTCATTTTACATTCTTTGCACGGCTCCCGATCTTGAGTTGCAGTTATGAGGAAGTCTAAAAAGTGTAGGCTCAGCCCCACCCACCCACCTTCTTGAAGCAGTGCCACTTCACGCAAATATATTCGGCAGGCAGAGCTGTTTGAGCAAGGAGAGGGTCAATTTGCCTCAATTCTGTTCAGATTTGGAACCAATCCTAATTGCAAATCTTGGTATTTTATAAACCCTAACCCTGTTTTCAAAGTTACCGTCTCTTGGAAAAACCATCCTCAATAAACCCAACACGGTCATGTCCAACCATAGTAATGTCTGGTGTGCTATGTATCAAGTATCCATAGTAAGTTTAAAATCCCAGAAAGCTTTCACTGTCATTTGTCTGTAATTTCATATTTCCAGAAAATGGACACTGAATCATACTGTTAACATATGTTTGTGTGTAAGATTTCTATCGACACCCATCTTGTGGCATATACAGGTAGTCCTCAACTTACAATCACAATCTGGAGCAAAATTTCCATTGCTAAGCAAGGTTATTGTTGAGTGAGTTGTGCCTGATTTTACAACCTTTTTTGCCATGGTTAATCAAATCATTGCAGTTGTTAAGTGAATCATGTGGTTATTAAATGAATCTGACTTCCCCCATTGCCTTTGCTTGTCAGAAGCCAGATGGCAACGCCCATGACATGCATTTGCAATGATGGCAGGACACTGCAATCATTGTAAGTACATGGCAGTTGTCAAGGACCTGAATTTTGTTCACTTGACTGGGGGGATATTATGATGGTTGTAAATGCGAGAACCAGATGTAAAACTTTTTTTTATCAGTGTGGTAACTTTGAAAAGTTGCTAAACAAATGGTTGTAAGGTCTATCTGTAATTTTGGGTGGCTAACAACAACAACAAAAACACAATTAATAAAAACCACACACAAATAAATGCCTCAATAGTTCCTTTAATCACTCTGTATTATTTGGCTGCATCCAGTTATTGTCAAGTCAGTTATGTTATTATGGTTGGTCGCACAGTCAACCGGATGTTAAGAGTTGATTTGTCCACCTATTGAGTCCTTCCCAAGGACCTGGGATATGCAGATGTTGTTGTTTAATAATATCAAAAGTACTGTAGCAGGATGTAAGGTGTTCCAAGTAAAGTTGCATTTTGCAATTGACTGTTGATTTTGTCAATGCCGATGGTATACAACGGGTGCTACAGATGTTTTGGAATTGCACCCAAGGCACCTATTATTGAAATGGACATCTAATATTAGAACCTATCATTAAAAGAATGTTCTTCCTGTGTCAACTCAGAAAGTTCAGACTGTCCCAGGAGCCATTGATACAATTCTACAGAGGAATTTTTGAGTCTGTCGTTTGTACTTCTGTAACTGTCTGGTTTGGTGCAGCAATCAAACAAGACAGGTACAGACTCCAACGGATAATTAGCACTGCAGAAAAAACAATTGCAAAAGCATGCCTTCCATTGAGGACTGTATACTGCACGAGCCAGAAAGAGAGCTGAGAAATATACACAGCCCTCACATCCTGAACAAACTGTTTCAACTCCTCCCCTCAGGACGTCCTGGCCACTGCAGGCGTTGCATGCCAAAACAACTAGACACAAAGAGTTTTTCCCCCCATGCCATCCCTCTGCTAAACAACACCTAATTCCCACAGCACTGACTTATGCCTAAGGATATTTACCCATATAGTAGGGCTGTATTATTATTCCTTCTCATCTTTCGGATTACCTTCTGCTATTGGTCTCTTATGATTATCACTGTTGTTTGTATGCACACTGAGAGCTTATGCACCGGAGAAAAATCCCTTGTGTGTCCAATCACACTTGGCCAATAAAAGAATATTCTATTTACAATTGGTGCCGTCCTTGCTTTCTTTTGCCACGGACGTTCTACTTCTGTTATTATGGTTGATCACAGTCGGCATTTAGACTGGATTTGGCGTTTTTATCAACTTAGGGAGTCCTTCCCAAGGATCTGGGATAGGCAGATGTTGATATCTGGCGGTGTTCATTATTATTGCCAGATGGATTCGGCCCCGCCTGTAAACGTCTGCCTCCTTGTTTCCTGAGCTTGGGAGGCGGCAAACGCGCGTCGTTCATTTGCGCTAACCAGTGCCAAGAAGTGAAAAGATCTGAAACGCAAAGGCCGGTAACGAGAGCCAGCCAGAAAAGGAAGCCCGCCCCGAACCCGCCCGGCAGCTACGGAGGAGGAGGAGGCGGCGGCTGTGTGCGGCGCTGAGATCCACAGCCTGTCGGGTCCTCCCGCCCCGCAGCCTGACTCACTTCCCTTACGGGGGCCAGCCCAGGGCGCCCGGAATAGCAGGTAGGAAAGAGCCCCCGCTACCCTCCTTGCCACCACCCTGCCCTCTTCCCTGCGGAGGGGGGGGGCTTGTCTGCCCCTTTCCCTCGCAGCCCGGCCGTTAGGAGAACTTCTGCCCGGCCCCACCCTTTCTTTCGGTTGCAAAGCCAGCTTCGCCTCTCCCCCCCCCCCCCCACCGCTTTCTAGTTTCCTGAAGTTGGACTAGAGAGGGCGGAGATGGGTGGGCTCCTTCTTTTTCTTCTTCTTCTTCTTCTTCTTCTTCCTGGGCAACTGGATATATCGTTGCTGGGAGTAGAGAGAAGCGTGTTATGAAAAGAGGTTGGGCCGTATAAGGATCCGGGCAGGGAAGGCATCGCCCACGCCGAGCCTGCCCGGGCAGCGACTGCACGTCTCTCGTTTGGTAGAGAGCGGGGCCCCCTACGAAGGGTCGAAGGGACTAGAGCAGTGTTTCTCAACCTTGACAATTTTAAGGCATGTGGACTTCAACTCCCAGAATTCCACAGCCAGCATTGCTGGCTGTGGAATTCTGGGAGTTGAAGTCCACATGCCTTAAAATTGTCAAGGTTGAGAAACACTGGACTAGAGGAGCCGGGCGACAGGGTGACCTTTTCTGCCCGTTTGGCCCTTTTAGACGCCTCTCCCGCCCCTCTGAGCCTCCTTCGGCAAGGCAGAGCCGAGGCCGGAGCAGCCCAGGCGTTTGAAAGTTGGCAGCTGCAGGCTTCGGTTCCTCCGCCCGCCCGCCTGTCCGTCTGGCCCTCGCGCCCTCGGCATTTGCCGCCCTGTCAAAGGATGGGGGGGTGTTGGGGGGCCTGGACCGCGGCCAAGCTGTTTTCCTTGCAAAAGGGCTGCAGGTGGTGGCTGATGGGATATATGGGTTTTCGGGTTCCTTAGCTGACCCTGAAGTATGCTTTGGGCGGGGTTACTTTTCCTCCGCTGCTAAACTTAACTCCAGAGCTCAGTTACCCGCTGGCTGACTTTCCTTCTTTCCCCGCGCGAGTCTGCTTTCCTCCATTCAACGCAATCTAGACTTCGGTTGAATGCAGACGTTTATAGTGAGAAAGATAGCATAATCAAGGGTGCAGCTTAAAATTCAGGCATGCAAGCCGCTGATTGGTAAAGCCCTCACCCACCCCTCTTTTATAAATAACTCAAAGCTTTGAGCATATCTAGTGCTCTTTTTCCCCACAACAGCAACCTTGTGAGACGAGTTTGGCTGAGAGAGAGTAACTGGCCCAAAGTCATCCAGCTGGGTTTCATACTTAAGGTGGGACTAGAACTCATGCTCTCCTGGTTTCTAGACTGGTGTCTTAACCACTAGACCAGGGGTAGGCAACCTTGGCGTGGACTTCAACTCTCAGAATTCCTGAGCCAGCTGGCTCAGGAATTCTGAGAGTTGAAGTCCACGAGTCATAAAAGAGCCAAGGTTGCCTACCCCTGCACTAGACCAAAGTGACTCTCTTGGTCAACTCTCCCTCCTCCCTATTTAACTGTTCCCCAGATTTAAAAAGGACACAGGATTTCTATTGTTGGTTATTACACACTGAAACTCCTAATTAGCACAATGTTTCCCTGTGATCATTTGCTTGCCTAAATTGTTTTTTTTTATGTTACTTAATCTTAGGCATAGGAAGCATGCAACTGTAATAATAAGTTTCATTGTTATGGAATAAACATGTGCCAAACTCATATGGGGTGGGGGTGGGGGGGAGGAATTCAAGGGAAAGCCAAGGCACACCCAGGCATCTGAGACAAAGCAAATTTGCAAACTGTGTTTGATACTAATTCAGGCCCCAGCTCTGAATGTTTTTCCATTTAAATAAAAACATTTTATCTTCTTTATAGAGGTAGATCCTGAATCTTGAAGACAGGATTTCAGACAAATCTAATAAGTACAATAATAACTTGAAGTTTTGCTTTTTGTCTTTCTTTTTTTTTTAGTTATGTTGGGTTTTAGGAGAATTTGAATTGGATAAAGGTCCAGAATAACATTGTACAACATGTGGATTCTAATCAGACACAATCCGTTGTAATACATATCTAGAATGCATGGATTCCATTTGGATTCCTGAACTGATTATGTTATGAAGATGGTGAGGGGAATTTGTTTAAATGGCCTGTTTTGTTACTGAAAAATCTTTCTGTATTCATGCTCAGGCAAATAATAAGGTGAAAAACTTAAGGAGTGGCTTATAATTTTTTTGCCTGACACCCTCCCCCCAGTTCTTTTGTCAAAGTTGTAATCTGGCAAAAATGCAAAAAGCTTGTTGCTTTTTAAAGATTTATCAAAGGCCTATATGTTTATGTAATAGATTGAAATTATTAGTTGCCTTAAGAATTATCCAAAGTTTGCAAGTATTGAATTTGGGCAGCAATAATAAATTCAAATAAATAAAATAAATCTCTACACATAAGTATAGAAGGAAATGATGTACAAAAATGTAGACTGGCATTAAATAAAATCTGATTAAAATAAGTACACATGATAAAATATTTGTTGCTGACAGTAATCCTAAGGGTGCATTCATAGTAAATTGTGTGTAATGGGATAATATCTTTATCCTGATTCAGAGGGAGTCACCAAATGGGTTTCTTTGATTTTATTTTTTCATCAAGAGGAATCAGAAGAACATAATCCTCTTTTCCTACACTCAGCAAATGTGCTTTGGGAAATTATGTGCCCCTCCTAGAGGCTTTAGCAATGCTATGTTAGTAAACTGCCTAGCACTGAATTAGATCCGCCCACCACTGTCTTGCCTGGCTTAATCCAACATTGCCCAACTATTCACAGACATGGCCAGTTTGTAGTACTGTAAGGGGTTGAAAATACTAGCTCTTGTTGAGGCAACATTGCCTTTATTGTTATTGCTCAGCCCCTCTTATTATAACAGAGCACATTGTCCTTAGTCCTTTCCTATTCTGGGAGATACAGTCACTTCCAAATATTGACTTTATTTATGTTGGGTTTTGCTTCCCCATCTTATTTCTCCCTTTCATATATAACTAGTTTAGGAATAGCTTAATTACATTTTATCCCCTTCACACAAAAAAAGAAAAAACACACATGCTTCCACTGAAGTCATACTCTGCAGAGAACCTGTAGCAATGTTGGTACTGAAGCTACTTTTGCTTTCAAGATAAAGTATTTTAGTGGTTGGTGTGATCATGTGCGAGAGATCTTCCTTTATTTTTAAAAGTAGGTGTTTTCCAATTGTACAGTTAATTGTTATTTAGGGATATTGGCTGCAACTTATTTCTCCCCATCTTCATTCTGCATCTTCTAGGTAGCACCATGGATGAGTATAAAGGCATGACAGACAAGGAACTTATTGCACGATTGAAAAAATACAGCATTCCCCACGGACCACTTGTTGGTATGTGTTGTGACAATGTGTTTACCCAGAGCAGAAAAAATAAGTGCAGGTAGTCTTCAACCTTAATTGAGCTTGCAATTTTGGCTGTAAGTTATGACGATTGTAAAGTGGGCTACCGCATGATCCTGCCTGATTACAGACATGTGCTACAAACAGCCATGAATGTCAGGGGCCCCAAATGTCAGATCTTAGCATCTGAGTCATAACTCCCTTTTTGGGGGTCCTTCATAACATCAAATGATTGCTGAGCGACCTGTTGTAAGCTGAGAACTGCCTGTAAACATGCCTTGGAATTTGGAAATAGAAAAGTAACAAGTTAGGAGAGGAAGCAAAATAAGCAAAAAAGATGAAGTTTTATAGCAAAGGTGATTTCTTTTCCCCAAACTTTATGTGCAGCCTCCCGCCTTGCCAAAATGTAATTTTTAATGAACTGGATGGGGAATTTACTAAAATACTGAATATTAGATGTAAGATTATCCTTAATTAATTTTAATGGTTTTAATTAACATTAAATCAAGTTCATTTTCCTCTAATCACTTATTTTACTCTGGATCCTTTCCCTTTTTGGAGCATAGCCAGGCCCTCCCTTCAGGGCAGCACTGAAAGCCCAGAATACTTTTTGGCTCATAAAAATTGTGCATCTGGCTTTTACAGCAGAAGAGATCAGCATATAAGAGAAGATTCTATTTGCCTTTCTCCAGTTTTCAAAATAGGAAGGTTTTTCACTAATTTACTAATTTCACAGTGAATTGTCTGAAGTGATGGAGCATATGGGGATAAAATTCTGCCCCTCTGCTCTCACGGATGAGGGAGGAAGATCCATAAATAACAAATGTGAATAATGTTAGTTGAGTCTTCTGGCTCTTTAAGAAGAAGAAAAGTCAGAAGAGTTTTAAAATGGTTAAAGGGAATGCTGCACCTAACCAGGAATTGCTTTCCTGTGAAATATCCAACCCACATTTATCTTGTGGCTTTGGGCGTGTTTTCACCACAGATTTACGTCATCATTGAACAATATGTAGAACAGGTTGTGCAATGAGCTGTCCTTTTGGAGTTGGCAAGACTTGGAAGCAAAATCAGTAAAAACTATTTGGGAATACCTATGAAGTATTAGTAGAAGAATAGAAGAAACATGTGGAGGAGGCTGAAAGGTTGTATATTGTTCTCTGCTTAGATATAACCCCAGCCTGATTTCCGTTCCCCAGGAACTACCCGGAAACTTTATGAAAAGAAAATCTACGAATATGAGACTGAGCGGATTCAATATCCTTCGCATGGAGGATCTGTGTCCCACACAGGTAAGAAGAAACTGACCCAAGTGGAGAAAGGTCTCCTTGCCAGGCACTGACTTCTTTTCCTATCCACACAGAGCCAGCCACCAGCCAAAGCTACGTAAAAGAGACCTTTGTGAGTCCACAAAAGAAGGAAGATTCCAGCTACGGACGAGAAGGTGAGTGAAGTGAATTGCTAAGATAGGAGTAAAAGACAGACATGGTCTATGAATCAAAAGGCGTTAGAAGGATAAGCAATCCAAGAAACAAACAAGCGAACAGGTGAAAATTAGGGCAATGGCATGTGGGTTCTTGGTGCTCCAAGGAAATGGACAATCCAAGTTAAAAAGGGAAAGTCTCCTTTGAGTTGAGATCAACATTTGGGTTGACTATGTTGGCATGTCCATGCTGCCTTCATGACAACAGTAGGGAAATAGTTTGCCATTGCTTTGTTTGGAGAGTGTTTTACAACTTTGCAGTCTAGTCTACAACCCAAGTATGTTGTAATAATACTAAACAGACCCAACCTTTTTTTAGTTTCCCAGCCTAGACAAGGTGACCCAGGTACTGACTCTTATTAAGGCTGGATCAAATTTAAATACCATTTAATTAATTCTACCCTGCAGCTCTTGGCTCCACAAGAACTTACTTCAAAGAATATGTCCCAAGACAGGAATACTATTCTGAGTACAGAGATGAAGGTAGGTGTGAGAGTCTTTGACTGAAGGAAGATGGATTATGGGTCATGGACATGGGATGAGGATATTGAAAAGCTGGGAGTTTTTCATTTGGGAAGAAGATATATTTTATTGCTTTTTCTTTATAGCTAGAGAAATGTATATATTCTCTCACCAAAAAAACGACATAGTTAATATGCTTTATTCATATTCGGAACTCAACCCCCAAAACAGGGATTTCTATATAAACCTTGTTCGGTTGTGCCTAAAATCATAAATAGGTTGATGGGATTTTATTTTAAAATCAGAGACTATGTGCAGTCAATGCTGTATTTGTCCCATAAGGTTGATCTTTGCGCTTCTAGGGCATTTTGACGTCAAGGTTAACTATATCTTTGTTGGCACTGACACTGCCAAAATTAATACTCTACATCATAAACAAGTACTACTCATTGATATGTTTATATTAAATGTTGCTTTGGTAAATATGATGAAAGTTATTTATTTTTTAAAAAGTCAGAATTTCTGGAATGTTGTATTATGGCAGGAAGGACAGATGGTCATTGATTAATGACCACTTGTTCAATGACTATTCAAACTTAGGATGGTTCTGGACAAATGATGGTTATGGCTGGTCTTTGGACTTATGATCACCATTTGTGACCTTCTTTGCTGGCTTCCTACAAGCAAAATCAATGGAGAAGCCAGCAGAAGATAGCAAATAGCGGCCGTGTGATGTCCTTGTTTAACAACTTGCAGTGATTCCTTTAATAATGGCGATGAGAAGTTCTGGGATTTCTTTGCTAAGCAGCATGATCATATGATGTTATGCTTTACAACTGCATTGATTGGTCCCAATTATTATTGTGAAGTTCGTATTACCTGTAATTGTTTTGTATCATCAGAATGCCAAATGGATCCAAAACCATTTGCAGATACTGTCTGTCCCTTCTGCAACATGTTCTTAGCTTAAATAGCTTGACTTGCTTTTTACTATAAATACAAATACACACATATATGCCAGAAAGAGAAAGAGCTTTTGCTTCACGTAATTTTTTTCCTGTGATTTCCTAGATCCCAGTGCCACCAAGTCATATCAGAGTTATAACTACAATTTGCCCCACCATGAAGAGCATTCTTCATATGTATCAGAAGGTAGGGAAAAAAATGAGAGTGCAAAATGGGCTTTGAAAATCCACAACCCCTATAAGATTGGAACCATAACATTTGGTCAAACTGATAATTGCTGAGAAATCTGGGAACAAAAAAACACCCATCCAAAGAGCACCCAGTCAGAGAAATCTGATCTTCAGCCTTTATTATTGTTTTTATATTCATATATAACAAAAATCATATGCCATGCCATCAGAGTCTTTGATAGACTTGTCTCTCTCTCTCTTATGTCAGATATGGATGCCAACACTTCTGAGCCCTCCAGACCTTCCATTCGGAGTTACTCATCTTTATTAAGCCATACAACATTTCCAGGGACAGTGAGCGCCCGCCAGCCAGTAAGTTGTTCCTCACATGCTGTCAAGCCCAAAGACAACACTGAGAAGTCTAGTTGTAGGAGATGACCAGGCTGAGCCTGAGGGAGGGGTCATATGTGTCATACATCATGAGTAGATCTAAGTCCAACCCACCTTGAATGCCTTTCTTATCTCCCGCTCATTTCCCTTGACCGCTAGTTGGTCAGATTCTTGTAGAATCTACCTGGATCTCCTGATTTCCCTGGTGCTTGACACTGGTTGAATTCAATCTGTTACTTGCTTACACCTAATAGAGAGAATATTGCAAAACTAAAACTATAAACTATAAACTCAAGCTACTAGATATAGCTTGAGAGATTCTAGGGCAATGATGGCGAACCTTTTAGAGACCGAGTGCCCCAAAACTGGCCCCGCCCCCACTCCACCCCCTGCCCCACCCCTGCCCCGCCCCCCATCCCCGCCCCACCTGCCCGCAGGGCCACTCACCGCCTCCAGGGCCCGCTGCAGATCACCCAGGCAGCCCAGCAGCTCTATGGCGGTCACGCCCTCTGCCCGCGCCCTGCAGCATCACTGTGCACGATGGGGTGTGAGGGCAGAGTCTTGTCTACGTTGCCTGGCTGCCGTGTCCTTGGCTGCGCTGCTCTGCATGGGCCACGCTCAGGGGCGACTCTCCTTCAGGGGGGCTGCTGGAGAGAAGGGGGTCACGGGGGGAGGCGAGGCTGGGGCAACGGCACGTGTGCCCACAGAGAGGGCTCCGAGTGTCGCCTCTGGCACCTGTGCCATAGGTTCGCCACCACTGTTCTAGGGACTGGCTACCTTGAATCTCTTCCCCTGCCCTTCCCCCTCCAGCTTGGGCTGCACAGTCTTTTAATCCTGCTCTGTCTCTGGGAAAGCTCTGTGTTGGCCAAACTCTCCCCCATTGTTCTCCATTCCATCACACATACCTAGACAGAACAAGAAAGCTATCCAGGGGGGGTTACATCCAAAACAATCAAGGAAAGATCTCTCCTTACAACTCTTTGACTTACGACTACAGTTGGGACCAGAGTGTCCGTTGCTAAGCAAGGCAGTTGTTAAATGAGCTGCACCCAATTTTACAAACTTTTTTGCCACAGCTGTTAAGCAAAAGAAGAAATAGGGGAGACATGATAGCAGTGTTCCAGTATTTGAGGGGCTGCCACCAAGAAGAGTGGGTCATGTTATTCACCAAAGCGGCTGAAGGCAGGACAAGAAACAATGGTTGGAAACTGATCAGAGAGAGAAGCAACCTGGAATTAAGGAGAAACTTCCTGTCAGTGAGGACAATTAACCAGTGGAGCAGCTTAACCCCAGAAATCATGGGCACTCCATCACTGGGGATTTTTAAAAAGAGGCTGGACAGTCACTTGTCTGAGATGGTATAGGTCCTCCTGCTTGAGTGGGGGTGCTGGACTAGAAGACCTTCAAGGTCCCTTCTATTCTATTCTATTCTATTCTATTCTATTCTATTCTATTGTACTGCAGTTAAGTGAATCATGTGATCATGAAGCAAATCCAGTTTCCCCCATTGATTTTGCTTATTATAAGCCAGTTGGGAAAGTCACAAATGACGATCACATGACTGTTGCTAATACATGCTGGTTGCCAAGCAGCCAAATTTTGATCATGTAACCGGGCTGAAATGGTCATAAGTGAGAGGACCGGTCATAAGCCACTTTTTTCAGTATTGTTGTAATTTCAAATGGTTGGTAAACAATAGTTATAAGTGAAGCGTACACTCACTACTGTCCATGCTTTCTTTCAGATTGCCGAGCCATATTCCTACTCTTCCAGTGAGAAGGATAGGCCAGCTGAGAGGTAAGTAGGGTCAGTGCAGAGGCATCAGTAAGAAAGAATATTCCCAAGAACGCCTAGTGGAATGGGTTGTTAGCTTGTTTTGTGGCTAGATGCCATTCTGTGGTTCCTTCAGTAAATGAATGATTTGATGACCTTCCTTGAGGGTAGCCAGGTGATCCTAAGTCCAGATAGAGCTACATGCCCCTATGCACCAAAATAATTTGTAGATTTTGAATTGGAAATTCTGCTCAGCCTTATCTATAATAGGGAGTCCTCTCAGTGTTGCCAAATATTTCTGGTTCTAAAGAAAGGTTGATGCTAAAACTCCCATCAGCTGAGACGGATTTCCCCAATTTGGTTCCACCTTGATATACCAGGGCTGCCATTTGCAGAATAGTTGCCAGCTGTCAGTGTTGGAAGTTGCAGTTCCTGCACATTTTGACGGAACCAGACCAGTGAAGGCGTTTATGCTAAGGTTAGGCAGTGAATTTTGAGCACTGTCAGAATTTTTTTTTTATTCAAGTTTATTATAAGATACAAATAAAAACAAAAACAGAGAAATGTTAAACAGACAACGCAGAAAGAGGTAAAAAAGGAAAAAATAGTGAATTCTGTTTTTTTTAGTATAGTAGAATACAAAAAAATACACGTCCTCAACTTACGACTGCAGTTGAGCCCAAAATTTATGTTGTTAAGTGAGACATTTGTTAAGTGAGTTTTGCCCAATTTTACGATCTTTCTTGCCTCAGTTGTTAAGTGAATCACTGCAGTTGATAAGTTAATAATCTGGTGGTTAAGTGAATCTAGCTTCCCCATTGATTTGTCAGAAGGTTGCAAAAGGTGATCACATGACCTTGGGACACAGCAACAGTCATAAATATGAACCAGTTGCCAAGCATCTGAATTCTGATCACATGATCATGGGGATGCTGCAAAGATCGTAACTGTGAAAAGCAGTCACAAGTCACTTTTTTCAATGACATTGTAACCTTGAACAGTCACTAAATGAGGACTGAATAAGTCGAGGACTACCCATTAGAAGCCATTTCTATAACAACAAAGTCATTCTAGTCGTCAAAACCTAAAACTAAATTTTCATTTTTTTTTTCAGTTTTGGTTCAAAATCCAGAAATGGTTTTCAAATGCAAACAAAATTAGATAATTCACACAGTTATCTTTAATTCAAACAGTTCACTTTGCCATCTCCAACTCCATCACCTTTACCATCCATTCTTCCATTGTGGGAACTAATCTGTCTTTCCATTCTTGTGCTTATTAAGATTCTTGCTGTGTTCAACATATATAGTAGTGTAAAATTGTAGGCTTATCGGCGTTCCTGCAATTGTCAAAATGAGAATCTTTTGCAATCTTTGTGAAAAATCTGAAAGGGGGGTGTATCATCAACATGCAAATGATGACTAGTGGAGATCAGGTGAGAGTATCATGGCAGATAGAAAATCTAATCTAGGCGGCCTTAAATCGCAGTGCCTGAGGTTGATAAGGTTCTTCTGCACAGCACTCCCTGAGATGAACTGCATCCCTGCAATTCATTTCCACGGAGCTTATCTTGTTAGCAATGGTTTGCTTTGTGTTAATTAATGAGAAAAGACAAAGAGATTGTCAAAATGACTGTCAAATCCAAGTGTTCCAATGTCTCAGGGGTTGCCACAAGGAAGAGGGAGTCAAGCTATTCTCCAAAGCACCTGAAGGCAGGACAAGAAGCGACAGATGGAAACTAACCAAAGAGAGAAGCAATCTGAACTAAGGAGAAATTTCCTTACATTTTTCTGTTTTGGGTTTATGTTTGCAGAGACAGCAGTTCCTACCAGAGCGTTTTCCAACGGAAATCACCTGGCTTGTCTTCGCTGCAGGTGCAGCCCCGCCGTGCCATACATCCAGAACGCCAGGCCCAGGCAGCGGAGACGGCTCTGGGGAGCAGTGCAGAAACCAAGCGATACCTCCCCCTCTGGCTCCAGTTCCTGTTGTTTGGGCTGTTGGCTGCCTTCCTGGCCTTCATCTACTTCTTACAGGGAGGGGCTGAGGACAACCCCTTTGTCAAGTACATTCCTCAGTGAAGCCTTGGCTCTTATTACCTAGGCCAGTCTTACCTGACCTGGTCCCCTTCAGATTGGTCGGGGTGTAACTTCCAGAGGCTGGGATGCTGGGATTTGCAGTTCTAACCCAGCCAGAAGGCACCACGATGGCCAGGAATGGCCTAGAATTTTGTGGGGAGGGAATTCTTTGTGTGTGGGTAGAATGTTTTGTTGACAGTAAGTGCCTTCTTGTCAGTTAAAAAAGAAAGTAGTATATTGAGGGCCAGGGATGGAAACGTTTCTACCAACTTTCCAGAGATAAAGCTGCTCCCCACACCTCGGGCCATCTCCTTCCTGAAACCAGCTAACATGGGGCATTTTTATCTGCTGATTTTATAGCTTGTCTTTATATGGGTGGCTTCTTATGAGGGGGTGGATGGGCGTAGAGGGAAGAAATGTAGCCTATCAATTGCTTTGTTTTAAATATACAAATGTATGGACTATCTAAATAAATCTTCCCATTTTTTAAGGTTGTCTTATTTCATTATTTCACCTCAGTCTAGATCAGGGGTAGGCAACCTTGGCTCTTTTATGACTCGTGGACTTCAACTCCCAGAATTCCTGAGCTAGCTATGCTGGCTCAGGAATTCTGGGAGTTGAAGTCCACGAATCATAAAAGAGCGAAGGTTGCCTACCCCTGGTCTAGATATTCACCATTTCTATGTAGACATTGCTCACCCTCCCATAACTCCAAATCTTTTTAAGGTCAAATAGCTGAAAGGTTTCCCCATAGCTTTCATCATTTTGATTTGGCCGGCCGTGTAAAGAAAGATGACATTAAGCCAGAAGTCTTTTTTTTAGTGTTTATGGGATTTTTTAAAATACTTTCATAGACCGCTAAAAAGAAAGAAATGGAATTCACACACTGGGCCAACCTTTTTCCTTTCTATTTTCACACTTGGGAGTGGAGACAAAGTTCACATCCTTCTGAGATTCCCTCCCCAAATCTGGAAGAACAGGATCAAGGAGCTGCATTCCCATGTAACGCTAAGCCAAGTTTTTAAACCAAGGTTGTTGAATAAGCCACTAACCCTAAAATGAACACATCACAGCTTGATGTTATGTGTAAGCCACCTAATGAAGCATTCTTGGTAGCAGGGGCATGGGTGGGAGGCAGTCAGGTATTATTGGCAAGGGAATGTTTTGATGGGACTGAGGTAAGAGTAGAGGCCTTGAGGGAACTCTGAGGATGTGAAGCCACAGCCTGTAGGGCTACAGGAGGGTGTTTGACTGGGACCTGAGAGGGCTTTCTGTTGGGGTGAGGAAGGCGCGGGAAGGGAACAGATATCAAGGAAGGGGATGCATGCTGGGGAGAGGGATCCCGTTGCTGCTGTGTCCTTCGTAATTTCTCCCGGACTTTTACGAACTCTGGTTGGCTCCCACCAGGATCCCCTGTTGCTTCCTGCTGTTGATGCTGCAGACAAGAAAGAATACTTCTATCAGATATCCTTGAAGGTTCCACTGCCAGGCATTTCCTGTCACTGCCTACAAGAACTGTAGGGAGACTGTCCCGGTCACTTGACCCCTCCTTACCTGTTCCCGTCTCTGCTGCCAGCGCAAAAGCTCCTGCTCAAGTGGGGATGGTTTCAAGCCACTTTCTGTCCCATCCCGGCACCGATTCCGATGCTCTAGAACCTGGAGCAACTCTGGCTTTGATCGAAGGCTCAGGCCTCTGAGAAGGGAGATTGACACAATACAGGGATTTCACTCATCCTAACCTGTGCAGATAAATGGTTGTGACAAGCATCCACCCTCACTGAGCCCATCAACAAGATAATACGTGAAGCCAGGACAGCCCATATAAAAACAGACAACAGTTGTTTCCCTTTAACAATAAACTTTCTCATTCTGGCTTAGTTTGCCTAATAATGTAACAATTTAGACTGGAACACGGAAGAAATGTCCTATAGCAACCAGAACAAAGAGAAGAAAATTATGTGTGTGTGTGTGTGTGTGTGTGTTTGTGTGTGTACTGTATGAACTGTATGAAATTATACACAAGTTTCAATAAAGGATTCCCATATTTCAGCATAATTATCCCATGTATCGTCTAAGTCGAACAACTCATTCATAATTCTCAACGTATCAGATGTAAAGAATGTTTGGGCAATAAGGCCATATTTAAAAAATACATAGTTATCTCTCACAAAACAATGATTCACAAAGTTCTCTGGGGAAAAATCTGAAAACCATCGTCCATCTAAGCTGAAGCTGAGCATGCTAAGAAAACAAGAAATATTCCTAGATGTATCAACAAACACTGAAGATGTTTGCTTTTGGTTTTATATCAACTCGTTCCAGCCCTTTAAAAAAAACACAAACTGGATATGTAAATGTTACTTTTATAACAACATTAAATGGATCTGGTACTGAAACTGGTGAAATAACAAACTTTCCCTTCCTACTGTGTATATTCCATTCTTCTTTAAGATGAGAAACAATAATTATTGTCTAGCTTCCTGAGTCATAAAAGCTTTTTAAACCTGCTATGGATTGTAAGGAAATTTGCTGTGTGTTTTGGCATTCTTACAAATTAGGACTGCAAGTACTACATGTACTTTTAATATTTGAGTAAAGACCAAGATTTATTTCTGAATAAATAGAGCTGAGGTCTGAAGTGGCTAAAGATATTCAAGAACAGGTCAACTTACATGGGATTCTTTTCCTTCAATCACATGCCCTCAGAGCTCAGCCTTGTTGTCACTAAGATAGTAAACCTATCAGAATCTTCAGGTCTCTAAGCCACTAATTTGCAACATGATGACTCCCTTGAATTGTCCTGTTGATTCCTTAGTGGCATTCTGTTGCCTTCATCCAGGATGGTTTTTCAACTACCCTAATCTAGTCTACAGTGGAGTCTCCAAGTTTGATATTAACTTCAGAATCTTCAGAATTGATAGCTTACTGCTCCATCTATTACTTACCACCACTGGTCTACCTCCATTGCCAGCCTCCTTTTGGGTTTGTAAGAGTGTCTGCCTGATACTCTAGATCAGGGGTCCTCAACCCCCGGTCCGTGGACCGGTACCGATTTGTGGCATGCCAGCAACCAGTCCGCACAAACAAGCAAATCCCCATCTGTGGGATGCAGGCAGCACACAAAACCACACACTTTCCGGTCCGTGGAAAAACCTTTCTCCACGGAACCGGTCCCTGCTGCCCAAAAGGTTGGGGACCTCTGCTCTAGATGATACCACCTCCAAGTAGATGAATTAACTTGTAAATAAAAGGACACCCCAAAGAGGCTTTTCCAAAGGCAACTGGACTTTTTCCTCACAAACTGAAGAAGATTCTTGGATGAGAAGCAAAATGTTTTCAGAGAAAAAAAACAAGGAAGTCCTGTTGCCTTTGGAAAATCACCTTTGGGACAACTATGACCTGGTTGGTTGAGAATCTCCATAGAAAAATAAAAGGACAAAAAAAAATGACAGCTCCCCATCTTTTTTTCCTTGTAGCATTAACAACCAAGCAAAATTGATGAAAGTCTGTGGTTGCAGATGGTTCCTGCTGCCTCTGCTAAACAAGTCCGCTGATGGTCATCAAAGGAAAAGAAAAAAGATAGCAGAAAAATAGGGGAGGACTGTTATTTACACAAAATGGGGTATATAAGGGTAGGAAGAAAAAATGCCCTACCACCATTGCTTTACATTTTAGCTCTTGTTTATCTACTGCTGGGTTCAGTGACTGAGTAGGGGTGAAGCAAAATAACAGAGAATTAATGTGTTATTCTGGCTTAAGGGGGGGGGATATATGAGAATTTGGCTGTGTTTCTCTCCCTCCTTCTACAGAGTACACCTTAGAGAAGTAGTAGAACAGACATCGATTTAAAACTGTCCTTTCTATTTTAGACCTCAAGAAATAGGCCAGCAAATGAGGCTTGAAAAACCTACTGGTGATCAAAGCCCAGTCTGGCTGGGGGCCAGCAAAGGAAAGAAAGGTGACTCCCGCTGTGTCTCATGGGCTGGGAATGTGAGTCAAGTTACAATTCATGTAATCCTATGCATGTCCACTCAGAAGTAAGTCCAGACTGTGTTTGGATGGTTGTGTGTGTGTATGTGTATGTGTGTGTCTTACTCCCAGGGAGAAAGATTGTAGGGTTGGCATTGGGAGAATTTTGCTGGTAAAAAGGACATTATTTGGCCTATATGGACAGCCTGGGTATGAAGTGAACTCTTTGGAGAGGGTGAAACTGCATTCATAGATAGAAACAGGCAGATACTAACTATACAATTGAAGGGCCTACTAGATACATATATTATTAATGCTATATTAACACAACTGTGTATGCAGATAGAGATAGATAGATAGATAGATAGATAGATAGATAGATAGATAGATAGATAGATAGATAGATAGATAGATAGATAGATAGATAGATAGATAGATATACACACACACATACATGATACACAAATGTGGATAAGGAATGACTCCTGTTCATTGCTGCTTTTCTCACACAATCTCATTATTTCTATCAAACTGAAAACACAAGGTAAAATATGTTCACCTGAAACAAGGGATTAATTTGAATACATTTAGGCATCTGTGGTATGTCAGTGATTGTGGCAATCTTATTGCAGAACTTTTTGATGTAATGGTTAAGGTGTTGGATTAGAAAGCAGGATATTGAGTTCCAACCAACAGGTGTTGGTTGGATTACTTTGAGCCAGCCAACCCTAATTTGTTTACAATTACCTAAGGAAAATGTTTTTTTCTGTTACACCTCCAACAAAATATTTGCTTTGCTACCTTATACCAGGTTTTTTAAGACTCTCCCTTGCAGAAAGTACATTATTGTTTTTATTTTAATGGGCTTTGTGGATGCCCTGATATTTTGATGATGTCTTAGGAGAGAATATTTCATCTTTAAATAATAACTGTATGGTTGCTTGGAGTGGTCTGATCAGCTTACACAACAGCATGCCAGGTCTCTTACTTTGAAAAGTACTTCCCCTGAGGTATATATTTGGTACATCTTCTCCACTGCTAAGGAGGAAAAAGAATAATGTGCATCTCTTCCTCAAAACGCAGACTATTGATTCCTAAACAGTTGAAATATTTAGGATTTATATATAAAATGTAGCATTTTAAAGAGTAGCAACTACTCTTTAAACTACCAGAATGGATAATGTGGATGATCGTGAAAATATATGGCTATAAAACTGTACATATTTGTTGGTCTTCAACGCATGAGCTTCTCTGATGTTTTTGTTTTGACCAACTAACGTGGTTTCCCATCAATACACAGCATTTTGGCCTAGTGTTAAACTATGGATACCTCTACTTGTGGCTTGCAGAGTAACAGCTATATTTTGCAGACTTGAAACAACAGATGAGAATGGCAGGGAAAGTGAGGCAATGGTGATGGTGGGGGGGGCAGTGTCTGTGTCACCTGCACAATGTCATATGAAATAAAAAGTAAACAGAATTGGAGGAGCAAGAAACAAATGGAATTTTCTCAGCAACAAA